GGGCATAGCAGCGGGGACAGGAGCGAGGGAGTCAGGAGTAGCGGCATGAGGCAGGTGTGCCATCATGCTAGCCATGATATTGCACATGCGGCCACCTCTGGAGGAACTGGCCCCAGGCACGTTCCCACCACTCGAGCGGCAACTGGCTAATGGGATTGTGCCTGGGGCAGGGGCAGTGCACAAAGCCTTTTCCCACCTTCCCCCTGGGCTTGCAGCTATTAGAAGAGAAACAGGGACTCATAGCCGCTTTTCTAAGCAGTGGGCAGGGGGCAAGGAGAACAAAGAGCCTGCCCGAGGCTCCCTACTCCATTCATGGGCCAGATCTGGTGGCTTGGTGGGTTGTATGCAGCCCACAGGCCATATTTTCTGCAGTAGGCCATTTGTGAAATTGAGTCCTGAACTTCTCTAGCAGTTGCTGTAGTCGTTGGGAGTCCCCTAAAATTCAGTGTGATATTTCAGGAGCAACCCTTCTAAAAGGGTTACATGTATTAACACTTTCCATTTGTCCTGTTTATTCTCTACAGTTCTTGCATTAGTGTAAAGACATCTACAGTGTTGAGCAAAGTCACCCACTGATTTCCCTCTTGCTTTTATGACCCTATGGTAATTAGTATTTAAAGCATTTGCTTATTAAATTCCACCTCCACAGAAAACACACCTGCCAAAATAATTTTTCTTCCCTAGTATTTGGATCAAGTCACTTCTCTTTTCAAATCCCTTCACTAATTACTCATCATTTTTCTTATTAATTTCACTCCTGAACCTCGCCTTCTGGGCCATGCATAACTTCACCCTACACTTGTATATTTAAATCTTGGTTAATCAGTTAACTGGCTAAATGTTAAGTTAACTTAATGTTTAACTGGTTAACTGAATAGTGGGATCTCATGACTCCAGCCCCCCAGCCCATAGGGCTCCTGCTCCCAGCCCCACACTGGGATTGGGACTGCTGCTTGCTCCCAGCTCCTAGCCCCTGCACTGTGACGAGGCACTGGCTCTGCCATCTCCCAGCCCCAGCAACCAGCCATGTGGGACTGGAGCCAGCCGTCCACCCATGGCAGGCTGTCGGTGGGGAACTGCTCCCTAGGGAACCTATTAATCATTACCCAGGTGATGCTTACTGGGGAACCAGTTAACCAGTTACCTGTTCACATCTCTAATATTTCATCTCTTTTCCTACTACTTCCCCTAATAGCATCTTTGCAGTTTCCAATCCTGATATTTTAATTACTATTCACTTAGATCCCATTGTTGTTAATCTTTCACAATTTGGGTGGCATTTTATTTTGCAACTAGTGCTATTGAGTTTGGTGGACCTGCTCTCAAAGTGAAATACTTCCCAAAACCAAAAAGAGTGACCGAATTGCTTACTTAGGCTACATCTAGACTACAGTCTTCTTTTGGAAGAAGCTTCGGAAGAGAACTTCTGAAAAAACTTCTTCCGAAAGAGAGCGCCCACACTGCAAAAGTGCATCAAAGAAGCCATTTCCTTTTTTGAAAGTGAGTGTGCAGACTGAACGGATGCCTTCTTGCATGTAAGCTGCAATTGCTATGGATGGAATGGCCACCAGAGCACCTGTGCTTTTTCCTCTTTCCTCTTTTTTCAAAAGAACTCCCTTTTGCCTGTCCACACACACCTTTTTCTGAAAGAGCTCTTTCTCAAAAAGGCTTCCTTGCAGAATGAGGATTACCAAATGCCAGAACAACCCCTCTGCAATAGCATTCTTTTGATTTTCTTGTGGAAGAATGCTATTGCAGTGTGGACGTTCCTCAAGTTTTGTCGGCAAAATGGCCGTTTTTCTGACAAAACTCTGTAATGTAGACATACTCTCAGGTTTGAAGAGCTTGGAAGAAGAAAACTTTCTTGGAACAACCTCCATCTGTCAGCTGATTACTCTCTCTTTCTCTTCATTCAAATTTTACCTCAGAACATTACTGCTTTCAGGAGATGTATCAATGCTAATCACATATTGTTTCCTTACATAGTCTATAAATAGAGTAACCAGTGAGATAGTCAATTTACAACCAACTTCTGCCTTTCATGCAATTCAGGGAAATCTACTACAATGTATGTTTTTCCACCTTCTCTTGTGTTCACTGTTCTATCTTCATGTTATTGTCTTATTTCTGACATAGTTTTAAATTGTAAGGTACTTAGGGCAGTCTCTCTCACTCTTTATTTTTGTGTGTCATGCGCTCCTGTGACATATCTGTAATAAATAATAAAGGTAAGAAGTTGTCTCCTCATTATTGTAACTGGAAGACTTACCCAGTGTTTCCTGGGTCCTTCAGGGCAGGGGACTGTTGGTGTGAGGGATACAGAGTCAGGGCATGGCCTTGGTGATACGGGGAGGGGAGGGGGGCAGGAGTCTGGGGGGCAGGAGTCTGTGGGTGAGAGAGTGAGGCTTGGAGGTTGAGAAGGGGCTGTGGATGCAGATCCCATCCGATGGGACTTTTTCTCCTCCTCGCATCTTCGGCCGGCGGGGCCTTTTCTCCTCCTGCCAGCCTCCCTCGACCAGTATAGGCCTTTTCTCTCCCCCCAATCCCTCTGGCTACCAGAAGCCTTTTGTCAGTCCTCCTCCCCAGATGCCAGGGACCTTTTCTCTCCCCTACCTCTGGCGCTGTGGCCAAGGATTGGCAGAGAAAAGCTAGGGGCAGAGATCTACTTACCCAGTCTGGTGGCAGGCAAGATGACATAGCTTCATCCCCGCTGACCACTCTGTTGCTGATGAGGCTGCCCCCAGGGGCCACTCTTTAGTATAGCTCTCCCCTGCAGGCTCGGGTCTTTCCTCTCTGTGACTTTCCCTTTCCATGTTATGGAAAAGAGTCCTATTTCTCTATTCCTGGTACTTCCCTTTTTCTTGGCACAACCAAACCCTGGCCTTGCTTTAAGTTAGGATAAAAGGAAGGTGCAAACCAAATTTGGTAATCCTAGCGCTTATTATTTAGGAGGAGTTCTTGAACAAACAGATTCAGAGATGGATAGACACACAGACGGATGCACATTCTAAAATATGTAGACAGAAGATGATATATAAGACTTGGTGGAAGTAGGTTCAATTATCTTGATTGCAGTAGGTTACATCACATAATGTGGTCTGAATGTGGTTCATTTTGTTTATAACTTTAAGAGGAGACCTTGATAGTTGACAGAGGACAGTCATACCCCCCTTCCCCACCCCCCCCCCCCCCACTCGCTACCCCCCAC